GTCTAGTTAACGTTTAAAAGTTGGTTATAAAGCTAGGTGTGGTGTAGTCTCAGTTACTAAGGAGGCTGAGGTGGAGAATCATTTGAGCCCAGGAGTTCAAGACTAGCTTTGGCAACAGCAAGATCTTGTCTTCACAATAAATAAAAGGAAAAAAAATTTTTTTAAGTTGACTATTTTGTGCAATTGAGATTGTAATTACACTGAAAATAGCAAAAAGTGGCTGGACGCCTGTGGCTCAAGTGGCGAAGGTGCCAGCCACATACACCTAAAGTGGTGGGTTTCAATCCAGCCTGGGCCCGCCAAACAACAATGATGACTGCAACCATAAAAGAGCGCTGTGGCAGGCGCCTGTGGTCCCAGCTACTTGGGAAACTGAGGCAGGAGACTCGCTTGAGCCCAGGAGTTGGAGGTTGCTGTGAGCTGTGATGTCACAGCACTCTACCCAGGGGGACAGCTTGAGGCTCTATCTCAAAAAAAAAAAAAAAGAAAATGGCAAAAAGCATGTGAATTCCACTTTTTTGGTGTGGCTTCTCTTTCCTTGATGTGTGTTTTGCAAATATGACTCTTAATGTACGGTAGTGGGAAAAAAGATTGTGTTGGGATTTCTTCGTAAGCACTCCCCATCTTCTCTTGGATTAGGAATAAACCTATAAAAAATGATGAGTAGCATTCTTCTGACGCTGGCCGAGGTTAACATTTCTGTTTCATTTGCGGTCACTCCCCTGGAGACACCGTAGTAACTGTAATTACTGGCAGAGTTTGGAAGTTTCTACATTGATTTTCTTTTTATGGAAGTTTACTTTTCTCACACACCCATTCTTATTCTTTTCTAGCAAGTGGAATTCCAGCAAGTCAGACTGATTTATATTATGGACAACTTAATTTTGGATTTACGATTAAAAAGAATACAGGGAAGAATTCAGGATCTGTTTTCTTTAGTGATAGGAATAGAATTTATATAAAATTCCTAATTGTTCTTATAGTTCCAGAAAATGCTTTATGTTTATGTTTTACTAGATGTACTGAAGAGGCTGCACACACTTTTTTAACCCAAGTGACTGCATGGGATGAGATGAAATAAGAATTTTAAGAAGGAGTCCTGAGCAGTGCCTAAGGCTCAGTGAGTAGGGTGCCAGCCCCGTATACCGAGGGTGGCGGGTTCAAATCTGGCCCCGGCCAAACTGCAACAACAAAAAAATAGCCGGGAATTGTGGCAAGTGCCTGTAGTCCCAGCTACTTGGGAGGCTGAGGCAAGAGAATCACCTAAGCCCAAGAGCTGGAGGTTGCTGTGATCTGTGACGCCACGGCACTCTACCATGATTGATGAAGTGAGACTGTCTCTTAAAAAAAAAGAAGGGTGGCTCGGCGCCTGTAGC